CAGTTTAAACAGCATACATTTACATCACGTACCTATGCGTGTTTATATGCGTGTATGTATGCAGCACAAAGTTGAACCAAAGCAGCAACAACAACAACAGATGCGGGCAGAGGTGCAGGTAGGGCATGGGCAGCGATTTTATGTATGGCTATAACTTTCTTCAGAATTTACCTATCATGATGGAATTTGGCACACGGACACATTAGTACTAACTGGATGTACCTATCAAAATTGATTCTAAGAATTACGGAAGTTATAAGAAAAAACACGAATTGTGGGGGAGTGGGGGGTGTATCAGAAAAAATAAACAAACTCGATCCTAGCTCTTGTACTTACTGAGATCCTTGCGCTCATACAGACAGACAGATGGACATGGCTATATCGACTCGTCTTCTCATCCTGATCAAGAATATATATACCTTGTGGGGTCTGCCACGCCTCCTTCTGTGTGTTACATACATTCGCACAAAACTAATATAGCCTTTTACCCATTGGGTACAGGCTATAAAAAGGGTGTTCAGGAAAATTAGCTAGGAATAAAATAGAGGGAAATGCGGAGCATCCGAATTTTCCATAATATATGGATTGGAATGCTATATGCAAGAAGGTAAATGAGCTGAAGGCTGAGTTCGATAAATCGTACAAAAGCCTCACTCAAAATAGGCCAATACAGATAGGCACATTAAATAGGCACACAATTAAATTGGTGCAATATTATAACGAGATTCGAGAGATATTCCTAGAAAGCAAATCTAGGCTCACGAGTCTCCATTGGACTCAGGCTTCAGATGTTGTTGTAAGAGAACAGCTGCTCCTTGTCAGAGCAAGACATGGCTTGGATATACACTTGCCAAATGTCATAAGTAGTGCGGCGACATACATATATAGCCGTGGACGAGAATGAAGTTATGTCAATAAGTCCCAGGTCAAAATCGTCGAATACGGCATACATAATTTCGGAAGAAGATTCCAAAAGTGGACTTCCTCCCAATAACAGCCCCGCAAGAAGCGAAGCGGCTGATAGGTTTAATACAATAGAAAACAGCCCGAAATTGCGAAAGTGTCGCAGGCGCAGTTACAATTCTTAAAGACGGCGTCATCTCTGATACCAGAGTTTGATGGCAAAGCCCAAAATTTGAGAAGCTTCTTGGACGCATTGCAGTTGGTGGGCTCAATTAAAGAGCCACACGAGTCAACGGCAGTTCAATTAATAAAAACAAAGCTCAAAGGCAACGCACGTAATTTAATTAGCAGTGAAAACTCAATTGCTGATATTGTTTGCAAACTTTTTGCCACTGTAAAAGGTGACTCAGTTGAGGTTATTACAGCCAAACTGCTGTACCTTCAACAGAAGAGCAAGACGGCAAATCAGTATACCCAAGAGGTAGAGAAACTGACAAAGTCTCTAGAGAGTGCATTCATAAACGATGGACTTTCATTGGAGATAGCCACTAAATACAGCACGCAACATGCTGTAAAATCAATGATAAAGAATTGTCCCATTGACAGGGTAAAGCTGGTAATGGAGGCTGGCCAATTCAACTATATGAATGAGGCCATTCATACCAAATCAGGAAATTCAAAATGGAGTATACATTGTAAACTTTATTGCAGACTCTAAAAATATTTTTGTTTGAATTTTGAATACCACAGATAAAAATGAAATCATTCAATTAAACTTAGTAAATTTTGAAACATTGAATGATTATGAAATAATAGAAGCAAACACGAACAGCTATCACGTTGAGGTCTTGAACTCGCCCTTACGGAGCATGCAGCAAAATATTGACGTATTTGGAATAGAAACCGAATCGATATCAACCAATAATTTCTATAAGCAGAAGATAAGAATGAAAGACGATGAACCTGTTTATGTTAAGAACTATAGAATTCCACATAGCCAAAAAGAAGAGGTAAAAAAACAAGTCAAGAAACTAATAAAAGACAAAATAGTAGAACCGTCAGTCTCAGACTACAATAGTCCATTATTAATAGTCCCAAAGAAATCATTGCCGGGTTCGGATAGTAAAAGATGGCGTTTAGTGATTGACTACCGCCAGATTAATAAAAAAATCTTGTCCGATAAATTTCCATTGCCCAAAATTGATGATATTCTCGATCAGTTGGGTAGAGCTAAGAACTTCTCATGTTTGGATCTGATGTCGGGATTTCATCAGATTAATTATATAAATTAAAAAAAATTAAGAGAATTAAACAAAAACTGTTGTTCGATTTTACCTCTCTCGGTAAAAGGTTCATAATTGTCTATTATTATGTCTATGCTCATATATTCGTGTCTGTGTGAGCATGTTTGCAGTCAACCAAAGCATGAGCATCAACAACAGCTGCGAGCAGCGCTTGAGCAGCAAATATATTTATGGCTACCATACGATATATCATAGTGAAACTTGGCATACGGACACATAATCACTAACTGGGTGTATATGAAAAATTTGACTTCGAAATTCCATGAATTACGGGAGGTAGAGAAAATCGCGATTTGCGGTGGAGAAGGGGGAGAGGGAAATTCCGGAGAGCGGGGGCTAATTCAGTAAAAAAAAAAAAATGATGCACTTCCCACAAAAAAGAAAAAATGGGAAAATAATTTTTTCATTAATTTTAAATAATTATATTAATTAAATTAAATACAAATTATTCAATACATATATACAAAAGTGGTGACATGATCACCACAGCATACATTTTCAACAGCATACAATTACATCAGAATCGTGTCTCTGCGTGTTTATATGCAGCACATGTATGCATGCTGCACAAAGTTGAACCAAAGCAGCAACAACAACAACAGCTGCGGGCAGCGCTACGGGCAGAGCTACAAACAGAGCATGGGCAGCAATTTTATTTATGGCTATAAGGACTTAGGAGAATCTGAATACCAAATTTGGTTGTTCTAACTCTATTACTTTTTGAGATCCTTGCGTTCATACAGACGGACGGACAGACAGACCGACATACAAGTAGCTATATCGACTCGGCTTGTCATCGTGATCAATAATATATATACTTTGTGGGGTCTGCCACGCCTCCTTTTACCTGTTACATAGATTCGCACAAAACACCAAGTATATATCATAAATCAAATGTTAAGTGAAAAGCATTGTTGCCCTGTGCAAGATGTTCACAAAAGTGAACAAGGGCTCATAAATTAGCATAGAAAATGCAATGCAGTAGGTAGGCTAGTCAAAAATCTCAACAGACCAACGCAAGCAATGCATATGTACAATTATGTATAGTACGCAACTATTTACACTATACTGGTGTTTATTTTTATACCCTTTACCCAAAGGCTGAAAGGGTATACTAGTGTATTATTTCTTTAAGTATACAAACCAAGTTTGAACGTCAGCCGTGAAAATAGATTTTTTATACAAACGTTATAAAACGTCCCGTCACTCCCGGGGGTTCAATTTTTCCAACTTCCTAGCTATTACCGGTTGGGCCCTGCGTTGATGCACAATCAGTCAGTTAGGACAAATTATTTATACTCTGTACATGAAATTTACGTATATGTATGTAGAAGAATAACACTTCAATAAAGAAATGTGTTCGCGTAAGAGGAGAGCGTACTGTCCGTCGGTCGTCGGCTGCCGACCGTGAACTCACCACACCGGCGGCCGCCTAGCATAGGCTTAGAATAAGCTTAGACTAGGCTTAGAATAAGCTTAGACTAGGCTTAGTTTTTAGGTCTTAATATTGTATTGGCAATATAAGGTCTGCGCATGTGCGCCCCCATCCAAGTGAAGTACTTATTTGAAATCAAACAATTAAAGTGAAGGTACAACCACTCATATCGTCTACATCATTTGGTATGAACGACGTCCACCCCACTACATTTTAATTGGTCCTTCGAGTCGGATTTCATCTGCTGCACCTCCAAACATCATCCTCGTTTTGTGCGGCTTTGAATTCCCCCCCAGCAAGCATCGGTGGATTAAAAGCTGAGTACCCAATTGCGTTTTTTTATTGCTTCAATATTAGTGCCGCACACCTCAAGTGCGATTCGGAAAAAACTAAATTAGAAGTGCAAGTGTCAGCGCAATCAAAAGAAAGGAAAAAATTGTAGCGGCTTATTTGTAGCTTATGTACATATTGTACTCAAGTATACATATGTACAAATAGACTCCCGCGAACTTCGAATTTCCAATTCAAACTCGGCCGTGTTGTAAGTTGCAAAGGTCTTAAGTGTGAAATGTGTATATGCGAACATATTGTGTTGTCAAACCTAACTGTGCCAACATATGAGTGTTAATAAGTGCGTAAATCACATAGGCATTTATTAACATTCAATTCCACATAATTTGCCTATATACGCTTAAGTTAAGACACTACACACGGAGCGCCTATTCTTATTTATATTTCTCTCATTCATTTATCCAACCCTCGCACTGCACTGGTACAATTTCCGCAAATTAAACAACTTATTTATTTGCCTCCGCATTACTATATTGCATATAAGTTTTTCCCAAATCTTTAGCAATATTATTATTCACACAGCCGAGACAGCTGCATATATGTACATATTTTTTGGGCTTCTGTCGTTTGTGTTGTTTGCTAAACTTTCCAGCGCTTAAGATAAGCCGGCTCCTCGGCTCATCAATATTCTCTCCACGCCTTCGTTCTTCGGCCGTTATTAGCGCTCTCTGGCGCTCACACCCACACACATACACACACAAAAATGTCTCGCTGCAGCAGTGCATTGGCAGCGTCAGTTTGAGCGCAGCTGAAACAATAAGCGTTTATTTTGGATCCAGTACCAACCTCGGCGTTGATTAAAAAATATTTTCCTTGTTTTTGTCTGCGCACAATATTTATATATTTTTCTATTAGCAATCCAAAAAAAATATGGGAAGGTTATAAATATTTTTTCATTTTTCTAAAAAAAAAAAATAATTAAGAAAGCAATCCTAGGCTTTCCGTTCGTATTGCCGCCCAATATAGTCAGTCCAAGTCCGTTTTTTCAAGGTTTACTATGCTAGCAGGGAATCAGGCTAAGGCTTCAGAGCAACAGGACATAGCTGATCCACCTTCAAAGCCAGCGCTAGCTCCACTAAACCTAACATCCGCCTCAACGTCAAGGGTCAGTCCCACCTAGCCGCTCACACCAAGCGCGAGTTCCAAGGCTCCGAATCCAAGACTGCTCCTACTGAGAAAAAAAGGACTAGGTCCGTATCTCAGGAGTCCCGATCGACCAGCCAAATGTCGCTCAATACCTTTCTCCTCGTGAGCGACAGATTAAGCGCTTTCGAAGCTACTATGTCCGCCTCCTCAATATCCGAGTCATTCCTGTATATACTCAATACCCGACGAGACCAAGTCAAGGCGTTATGGGCCCAAGTCGAGCAGGTGTGTGATCAATGCACAAGATCACTAAGTGCGTTGGCCACTGAGGAGAGCAGGCATGATATTGCAGTCGTCCTCAAAAAGTACGAGCACTGCTACTTGATTTATGAAAAGTGTGCAGCCAAGCTCAGCGAGAGCATTGACAAGCTTTCCGCTGCCAGTAAGCTACCGAGCCAGCCGTTGCCGTCAAGTCATCCTTCGACATGCAGAGACTGCTTCCTCCCTCCGGTTGATACTGAAGTTTTCAGTGGCGATCCTCTACGGTGGCCTACCTTCCGTGATCTATTAACTGCGGTTTATATTAATAATCCGAGGCTCAATCCCATTGAGAAACTTTTCCATCTCAATGCCAAGACGACTGGAGAAGCAAGGTCCATTGTCCAAAATCCAAAGTCTCCGCTCATCCATGACAGCTTTGAGTCCGCTTGGGCGAATTTAAAGGAGCAATTTGAGAACAAAAGATTGCTGGTTAATAGCCATCTAAATCTTCTGTTCGGCCTTTCCACAATCGGCCAAGAGTCTAGCGCAGCTGTCAAAGGCCTTCAAAGCACCATTCAAGGGTCACAGAAAACTGGGACCCCATTTTGTGCTTTTTCTGTGAGCGCATGCTTCCCAAGGTCACCCGAGGTCTGTGGGAGCAGTCCTTAAAAAGTAAAACAGAAATTCCAAAATGGGCGGATGTCAACACGTTTTTGGTTGAACGCTACCGTACCCTTGAGGCAATGGACGACGAGAGGTCGGCGTCCAGTTTTCAGGAGCAAAGCCATTCCAAGCCTCAGAGAAGGGACGGGCCGCCTAAGAAACTCAATTCATTCTAGGCAAAGATTAGCGTGAAACCACCTCCATCCAACAAGGCCAAGCCACAGGCCTGCAAAATATGTTCCAAAGAGAACCATGCCATCCGGTTATGCCCTCGTTTTCTGGCAATGTCCATCACAGACCGAATCACCTACATCAAGCAGAACAAACTGTGTCTAAATTGTTTTGCGAGAGGACATCAACTACGGCAATGTAGGAGTGTGCACACCTGTTTTACGTGTTACCGTGTGCTGCAGCAGCCAGTGTTATTCTGGCTGCTCAGTCTTCCACTCCACAAATACAGTCCACATCCGATAGCCAGGCAAGTATTCATAATTATTTTGTCGCCAATTCCCAGAATGTCCTGCTGGGCACCGCCTTAGTTGACATTGGTCATTTGGGTACAAATTATACAGCGCGAGCTCTGATCGATTCCGGATCAGAGGCTACATTTATTTCCGAGCGATTTTTTAATCGGCTACAGCTTCCATTCCAATCGGTGCAGGCCCAAGAATCGGGACACACCGAAGCTGTATCCGCCCAAGCCCGCAAGCTCTGCCATTTTACGCTCGCATCGCCGACTAAACCAAGGTTGCACGTCGAGACCTCAGCATGTGTAATTCCACAATTGGCAGGAAATCTTCCCTCGTATACTATTCCTCAAGATCGCTTTAGGGACCTGCCAAATGTTCAGCTAGCTGACCCCATGTTCCACAGAAGCTCGCAGATTGACGTGCTGATTGGCGCTGATATCCTCCCATCCATTCTTATGGGCGGCTTCCAGAAGAATTTTTGTGGCACTCTCCTTGGGCAGGAATCGATTTTCGGCTGAATCCTAAGTGGTGCAGTGACCCGCTTCGTTTTCCACTCACGTCTCGGTGAGCCAGGACGTCACGTTAGAAAATCTTCTCACCAAATTTTGGGAGGTGGAGGATCTTCCAGGCAGAGTGATGAAAGAATCCGACGCCGTATGCGAACAAAATTTTGTGCATACTACGCGAAGAGAAGAGAGCGGCAGGTATGTGGTCACCTTACCATTCAAGGATCCTGATCACATTGACCTGGGCATTCCAGATCCATTGCTCTCAATTCCTGAAAAATGAGTTTCGGCTGAAGAAGAATATCAGAAAGAGCAGTATGACTCAGTGGTCCAAGAGTACCTTGATCTGGGTCATATGCGGCAAGTTGCTCCCGATAGCGCATCCGCCAATTTCTATCTGCCTCGCCATGCCGTGATCAACCCTGACAGTACCACTACCAAGGTTTGGGTAGTTTTCAACTGCTCAAATCGTTCTTCCAACAGTAAGAGCCTAAATGATGTTCTCCACTCATGTCCGGTTTTACAATCCGATCTCACGATGCAAATTTTAAAATGTCGTTTTTTCAAGTATGTGTTTAGCTCCGACATCACGAAGATGTATCGCCAGATTCTTGTAGATTCTAAACACACGCCGTTCCAAAGAATTCTCTTCCGCAACCAAGATGGTGATCTTTGTGACTACGAATTGAGCACAGTCACCTTTGGTATAAATTGCGCCCCCTTTTTGGCCATTCGAGTCTTACAGCAACTTGCCAAAGACATGACACATAATAGCGAGCCAAGTGATCTCCAACTTTATGTACGTGGATGACATACTAGCGGGGGCCCATACAATCCACAGCGCGGTTTCGACCGTTAATGAGCTGCGGGAAGCTCTTCTTCCTTTAAGAAAGTGGACGTCTAACAATCGGGAGTTGCTACGAGAAGTGCCTCGTGAGCACATGCTGTGCGTTGATTTTCTGGATCTCGAAGACGCCAGTACAGCAAAAACCTTAGGAGTCCGTTGGAAAGCCAAGGTTGAACTACAATCCTCCTATACACAGCGCGAGGTCCTTTCTCATGTCGCTAAGTTATTCGATCCAGCGAGCTGGCTAGCTCCTTTTATCTTGCGCTCGAAAATGTTCATGCAAGAGCTTTGGCTGAGCGAGATCGGGTGGGATGACCCGTTGCCTCCTCAGTTGCATCGTCAATGGATCGAGCTCCTGCAAGAATACCCTCAAATTAACCACATCCGGACGAGAGCGTACTGTCCGTCGGTCGTCGGCTGCCGACCGTGAACTCACCACACCGGCGGCCGCCTAGCATAGGCTTAGAATAAGCTTAGACTAGGCTTAGTTTTTAGTTCTTAATATTGTATTGGCAATATAAAGTCTGCGCATGTGCGCCCCCGTCTAAGTGAAGTACTTATTTGAAATTAAAAAACTAAAGTGAAGGTACAACCACTCATCTCGTCTACATAATTTGGTACGAACAACGTCCACCCCACTACATTTTCAAAATGTAAATCATTAAATGTCTGTAAAACAAATACAAAGAGAATGTGTCGTGAGATCTAACGGATTGCACACTATGATGCACTATGAGCAAGGCTTAAGTGCAAGTATTGCATTAGCGACTATGACTATGCGGGACCATTTGAAGCAGCAATAGTACTGGTAGTTACAGTCTGTAACTTACATGCGGGTTCTCTAAGTGGCTAGAGGTATTGGTCACAAAAACAACTGCAGCATCCGCAACTATCGCATTGCTGGACGACTTGTTTACAAGACATAGTGTTCCGTTGGTTGTGGTTTCGGATAATGGAACCAACTTTACTTCAGCTGAGTTTAATCAATATTTATCGTCTGTCAGCGTTATATACCATAAACTAACGGCGCCTTCAATCCCGCATTTAATGGATAAGTAGAACGTTATGTGCAAACGGTTAAAAATGGCCTTACAGCAATGAGAACCACCCCCGGCAATCTAAATAGCAACATAAACGAATTTTTGCGACAGTACAGAAACGCGACACACTGCACAACAGGCGAATCCCCTGCAAAACTATTCCTGGGCCAAAATCTGCGCACGCGATTGGAGTTGATTAGACCGGAGTGCGGAAGCTTAACATTATATTTTCACCATCTTCTTAGAAGGGGAAGAAATGTTATGTTATTTAATGAACTATCATCCCTAATATCAAGTTTAAGTATCCTCCCTAGCGTGAGTTGTACTTTTGTTTGTATGAAATAAAGAGCACTTAATAATGTATTATTTCGTAAATACGGAAATAATTGATACTGTCGCTAATTTTTCGGTTAGACCATCCACTTAGTTTGCTGTGGCCCACTACGCGAACGAAAATTTTAATGCAAGAACTATGGCTCACAAAATTGTTCTTGGGACGACCAAATACCCAGTCATCAATTAAAAGACTTGTATTATATAACTAGTTATTTGAGTAAGTGATGTAAATATGCATCGATACATCGATGTATCGATTTTTACGTAAGCGATTGTTTTCGGTTTTAACTTGATTTTTTTAGATTCGATTTTACGATCGATTTTTATAAAAATATCGATGTTACTTAGGAATGTAGCAGAGAAATCACGGCAAATACACAAAAGGAACTTTGATATAACTGTGATATGGCTTGTATTAAAAAAAGTGTTAAGAAACCATACCAAATCAAGTTATTATTCCCATTTCAATCGTAAACTCAGGGCCTGCTATTTGTTACTGAGTATGGATTTGGTTCGAATCACGCCGCAACCTTCAATGTTGAAGACTGATTGAAAATTCAAAGTTATCGTAAAATTTAATAACTGTCCAGCCCAGGACAGATATTAAATAAAGATTAAAAGTGAAAACGTAAATAGCGAATTTATACAAACGAATTTATGCAAAGTGTGCATTGGTAAAACTTACGGTAATTAAAATTTAGTTACGTATTTTACATGATGTGAATCCATGTTGGGATTAACAACTTACTTTGGAATGGGGTCTTAGCAGTTCTTTAGCAATATGCATTTTAAATATTAGACTTATTAATATAACACATATTGAATTAAAAATTTTAAAACTTATGCAAAATAATGGATGGCTGGTTCGCAAAGATTACGAATCTGACAGACAGTATTCTCCCAAAAAGGAA